TGAGGAGCATGGGAAAATTTTGCTGAGGCCCGGGATAGCAGGAATGACTTGCCATGAGTCGCAATCTTCTTGGTGGGTGATTTGGCATATAAGAAAGGCTTTTGCATTATTTCCATAGATAAACGAGTGTGAAATGTACTGTCTGTGAGCCATGACTGGAAGAGAATCAGCTCCTGGGAGGACGGCATTTTCAAGCTCAGGATTCTGTTTCTGGCTACTGTGACTGGCACCACAGGAAAATTGAACATTACAAAAAAAGAAGACACAAATTACAAAATGCTACTTGTTGTTATTATAACTGCATTGAGTTATGGCTACCTGGAGAGATGATATGGAGTCTGTACAAGGAAAAGAGTCAATTACCCATCTGCACAAAGCAAAATTAAATGAAAAATAGAGACATTAAAAAATGGCAAAAAAGCTGGAAATGTTTATGCAGAAAAAGAGAAAATAACACTGCAAAGGTGAGGCATGTAGTCTTGTCACTGCACATGAGTATCTGTGTGCCTGGCCTATACCCAATGGGTTAATGAACAGCTGATTTCAAAGTATTGCAGTTTTTTGTTTCAATTCCAAAATAACTAAGAATAACTACTCATACATGAACAATAATAAAACCTCAGTAACATGTGTGCAAAAATGTAAATAAACAACTCCACACCAAGGTTCAAAAGTATCATTCCTTTCTCATTGTGACCATGTCTTATTTCAAGGCATGCATCATAAATACAAAAGTCCAATTATTATTTCTATAGATATAAAAATAAGTTCATGCATGGTACATTTTTGAACTTTTGCTGAAACCTCCAATGAATATATTACAAATGTCCTTATCCAATACTTAGAAAATATCTTCATGCTACAGCTGTAAAAGTCATTTACATAACATCTGTAAAACCAAATCCATTCTTCATGGTAATTCTGAAAATCCCGCTCAAAATTTCTATATATATCTAGTATTTCACAGTTTTTTCTATTAACTGAGAGAATCATATGCCTGTGTATATGCATACATGTGCTTGCACATGTTGATTTGCTCATGTTTACATGCAATTCCAATTTTCCTTCTATTTGATTTCATAATACATTTTTCTCTTATTAACTGACTTTCAGATAAGTGAACTCAAAATTTACCCTCTGAACACCATCAAAGTGCGCCCGCTGGTCAGGATCCAGCTCCCACCACGTGTCCTCCATCTCCAGCTCACCAAATGTCATGACTTGCTCACCTGTCATGTCAAGCACATCTGCCCCAACATCTGTAGCAATAGTACATTTCCGTCAGCATGGATATGTATATTACACTAGTTTGGGTAAATAGTTAGCAAGGAGTTATATGAAGAAAGTCTAATTGCTCATCATATATAATCTTCTTGTGACATCAAGTTAAATTAAAATGATAAAATTAACTTAAGTATCCAATTATCATTCCTTACATCTATGTAATTTATATCTTCATCTTAAGATACATGAATATATGCATCAACTCTTCTTAATGAAATATTCAGAATAAGGATCCAAATTCAAAAAATCATGCCTTAAAGTTTTCACACAGTTTTCAGAAAATCTTTTTCATTAAAAATGAACTCTGAAGTCATTCTTACATATTCAATCAGATATCCTATCTAAGGTTTTATACTGATTAAATATATAGTAAGTGCATATGTCTATATATAAATATATAATATATATATATATATATATATATATATATATATATATAGTAGAAAGATAGATATATATGTGAATATATATATATATACTATATATATTATATATAATATATAATATAAATATAAATATAAATATAAATATAAATATAAATATAAATATAAAATATAAATATAAATATAAACATAAACATAAACATAAACATAAACATGAATATAAATATAAATATAATATAAACATGAATATATATATATATATATATATATATATATATATATATATATATATATATACATATACATATGCATATACATATGCATATACATATGTATATAGTATTTTATATATAATATATATGTATATATGTATATATATAATATATATATATATATCTATATATATATATATAATAGTATATATATGTATGTATATTATGTATGTATATATATGTATATATATATGTATATATATATGTATATTATATATATATATATATATATATATATATATGTATATATATGTAATATATATGTATATATATGTATATATATGTATATAGTATATATATATATATATATATATATATATTATCTATGTATATATATGTATATGAATATATACATATGTATATGTGTATATATACATATATATACATACATATATATATGTATGTATGTATATGTATGTATGTATATGTATGTATGTATATATGTATGTATAATGTATGTATGTAATATATATGTATGTATGTATATATTATGTATGCAATATATATGTATGTATATGTATGTTAGTATATATATATATATATATATATATATATATATAT